ATAAAATAAATAAGTAAATAATATTAAAATAAATAAAATTCGTAAATTAATGAAATATTTATATATAACATAAAAATATACAACAAAAATATTAAAAATTAAATAAAAGTTTAAGTAATATACGTAAATCGTAATATTTTTCTCTCACAAAAATTCCAATTGTACACATTATATGAATTAAATGAATTTTATTATACAATTGATGCCATATTAAAGTAAAGCAGCAACAACTCTGTTTGCTTTGCAGCCATAAAGCAGGGGTAAATAAACAGGCAGCTGTTTTATAATTTGCCAAAATGTATTGCCAATATTTGGCTTGTGCGATATGAATATAAATGTATATATTATATATACGCAAATATCGCAATATATGTAAGTATATGCATATAGAAATCTATATCAGTATTTTAGCGGTCTGTGGCCCTAGGCCAAGTTCATGTTCATTTGCATATTCGCAAATTGGCCGCTGTTCAAGGGCAAAAAGCCTAATTTTCTTTTGGCAAAACGACAGCAAATGGCAAAACTCACAAATTGCACTCACATTTTTCACAATTTCTCATTATTTAGGCCTACGAGCGTCGCTTTCCCACATGTCCCCAAATGCCCATTGTGCTGGACTGTGAAATCATTAAGGACGAGTGCCTGGAGAATGGGGCCAAGCGGAACACGAGTCGCCGCTGCAAGCTGGCCGTCGATGCGCCGTACATCTTCAAGAAATTGATTGGCGTGGACTTTGTGTTCTTTCTGCAGCACAATTATCTGGACATGACAAATCGTACGCTCAGCATCGAGGCGGTCAACGAGAGCTTTTCGTCGCGCATCGAGATCTTTGAGCGTTGTCGGTACTATGCCCATCCCGATAACAGCGAATGGACGTGCTTTGATCAGACCGCCACGCTGGACATTAAGAACTTCTTTGGTTTCGAGCATTCCATGGAGAAGATGGGCATGAAACAGTATACGCAGACAACGCTGAAGGGCAAGGAGATCATTGAGTATTTCATTAATCAGCTGGAGCAGGAGGGCATTACGCATGTGGATCGCTGGGTGCCACCACTGGATGCACCCAAATCACCGACCGCAGATCAGCATCATGACATTTTGCTTGACGGTGATTTTATTGCTCGCAATTTGGGCCAATTATCACCGATGCAGGAGTCCAAGCTGCTGGAGCTGAGAAAAATGCTCGATGGTGTCGATGATCTGGAGCGTATGCCCAGTTATCAGACCATCTTGCGTTTCTTGTCAGCACGCGACTGGCACGTTAGCCAGGCCTATGCCATGCTCTGTGATTCCTTGAAATGGCGTGCCGAGCATCGCATCGACGCTCTGCTGGAAGAGTATAGCAAGCCGGCTGTGGTCATTGAACATTTTCCCGGTGGTTGGCATCATCACGACAAGGACGGACGACCCATTTACATATTGCGTCTAGGACACATGGATGTCAAGGGCTTGCTCAAGTCGCTGGGCATGGAGGGTCTGCTTCGCTTGGTCAGTAAGCTCAAACAAATGGTCCACATGATGTATGCTCATTCATTTACTATCATCTTTCAGGCACTGCACATCTGTGAGGAGGGCATACAGAAGATTAATGAATCGGCCGAGCGCTTGGATAAGCCCGTGCTCAACTGGTCGCTGCTGGTCGACTTGGAGGGCCTGTCTATGCGTCATCTGTGGCGTCCCGGCATCAAGGCCCTGCTCTACATCACCGAAACCGTCGAGCGCAACTACCCGGAGACAATGGGACGTGTTCTGGTGGTGCGTGCGCCGCGCGTCTTTCCCATTGCCTGGACAATTGTTAGTGCTTTCATAGGTAGGTTGGGGATGACGTTGAAGTTACGTGAATATTTACTTATTTAAATATCTTCTTGATTTTTATAGATGAGCATACACGCTCCAAGTTCTTGTTCTATGGTCCCGACTGTGAGCACATGAAGGACGGCCTCGCTCAATATATTGATGAGGAAATTGTGCCCGATTTCCTAGGCGGTCCCTGCAAGGTAAATCTATAAATTTCGAATTAAAATTATTTTAAAAATTGCGTGTAAGCCTTCATAGACATAAAATGATTAACAATTATTTTGTATGTATATATATTTCTCTCAATATATATATATATGTATTTACATAATATAATCTATGATTTTTGTTTCTGTTGTACAATTTTGTTTAACCRAAATTTCCTTTCCCCGTTTCGACGCTAAATAGACGCATTTAACGCATGTGGAACAAGTCAATAGAAAGTATATAACGCATTGTTATTTAGCTGATTGCGATTGTGTAAGCCGCTTCTCTAACTCTCCTAAAAGCCAAGTCACATTGTATTCTAGTTTGTCGTATGTCGTCTATGTGCTAGTCAAGTCAATTCCGTTCACAATTGTTTCGCTGTCCGGACTATGTCAAGTCCAAAGAGTATTTTTTTTATTGTGCCCATGTAGTCCTTTATACACACGCACACAGTTACACAATTTTGTACCTTGAAAATCAAGTGATACGAAGAAAACAAAAGCATTTCACACACACATTGTTTTATTAATTGTCCTATTCTCTTTTTGCATCAACTAGACCATGATACATGAGGGCGGCCTTGTGCCCAAGACATTGTACAAGATGAACTCGCTGGAGGATCATGATGATGAGACGCCTGTTGCTTCGCGTGCCGCCTCTGCCTGCATTGCGGAGCCTCCCAGTGAGAGTAAACGCTTGTCGGCTGCCCATCAGCACGATCACAAGAACCTCTATAAGACTGTGGAGCTGAAGCCGGGCTTCACACACGAACTGCTCATTCGCAACACGGATCCGAAGAGCGTGCTCACCTGGGACTTTGATGTGATGCGCAATGATTTGCACTTTACGCTCTATCGCGTCACCGAAGAGCTGCCCGATAAGCATGGTACTGAAATGAATTAGAGAAATTGCAAAGCCCAAACTAATATAACTCTTTGCTCATCTATTAGATTCGGCTGTTTCCTACTTCGATCTGCAGGACTTTGTGGAGGGCGTCAACTATTTTAGGGAGGAGCCGACTCTCATCTGCCGGCACAAGGAGAGTGTGCAGGGCTCCCATGTGATGCATCACAATGATAGCTATCTGATGCACTGGTTCAGTCCATCGGGTGCTCAGTTGAATGTATTCTACGAAGTGCTCAGTTCTGTCAACTACAAGGGCTCGATGACCAGCCTGCAGTCGGCTTTCTCATCGAACTCATCGGCGACCAGCTCCTGTCAGAGTCGATGATATGAACCCAACGGGCAGGCAACAACATCGTCGCCCGGCGCCCGAGGCGCACATGAGGAGCAGGCGGAATTGGATATGCTGTCCGGCACCCTGATGGAGAAGAGCCTGAATTTGTTCGATACGCCCGATATATTTTTTTAAAGGCCTGCGAAAATCATTTGCAATCTCGTTTAGTTTAAATTCTAGCAAAATGTTTAGTTTGAGATTTTAATTGTAATATTTCGTTTCAGTGTGACACAATTTTTTCTATTGTTGCTTATAATTTGATTGAATATTGTGTTTAGTAGTATTATGTCTATAAATCAATGATTATATTTATATACGTATATATACATTTATATATTTTCAATAATGCTAAGCGAAAAAAATGAAATTTCTGAATCATGACTTTTACATAGATTTAGACGGTTGTATCAGAGAAATTCAGATATCACAGAATGTTCACACTTGTTCACGTTTAAGAGCGTCAATTAGTCCATTTTAGCAACAATATTGTAGCAGCTTATACAACGTACATATATAACTAGAGAAACCAAGATGATAAACGTAATAATTGTAGTGCAGCAGATTTTTTTATGGCTTTTTATAAGAATATCAATGCAACATAACGAAATATTGCCCGAAACTTTGACGCTAGAACGAAAAAAATGAGATTTACAGATATCTAATCAATGACTACATGTTACCTAATTAGTTTAATTCGGATTCTAAAATGCAAAATACAAAAAAAATAAAATAAATAATAATAATAATAATCATAATACACTAAAGTAAAACCAATTTTTAACCTCTTGCAATGAGTTSAAAAAGCTGTTTTAAATCAAAAGCCCTCATAATAAGTACAATATCATTAAAATTCCGTTTAGAGTACGAAATTGATGCTGCAAAATAAAAATAAAATATTGAAAATTAGCATTAGAATCTTAAAAATAAGCGCATGAAATAATGATAATCAATAMTAAATTAATATTATATTTAGAATTTTATTTAAATAGCCAAGCAAATGCCGTGCATGTTACCTAATTGTGTAAGTTGAAATAAAAATGCAAATACATATGTATGCCAATCGAAATTCAAATAATTATGTTTTAAATGAAAATATTTCAATACTTAATATTCTTGGGTATACATTTTCAAATTTTAAAAATCTCGCGGTATTTGCCGCTGCGTAGAATGCAGTGTGACCGCATTACATTTAAGCTATGCAACACTGGTGCGCCGCAACAGCTGTTTCTTGAAAGCCCTATTTTTAGTTCAAACACTGACCAGTGTTCAAACTTATTATATTAGAGGCCACTATATACACAAAATCGGCTAATGCCAATCGTCACGACTACATTTTTTATTTATATATGTAAAGGGTTGCTTAGCATGAGTTTGTTATCAGGTCGCTTATCAGCAATGGTTCAGTGGATAGCCCTACTCGACGTTAACAACTCTTCGTGGCCAACGGAAATCAATTGGGTATTCGGCTTAATGATCGTAAAATCCAACAATAAACGCAAAAAGAAAACAAAAGCGGATAAGCAGCCGCTATAAACTATTCTAAATAGCGCAGTTTTATGAAATTTTAAATCAGTTAAAGCGTAACGCTGACCGTTAACACATCAAACGTTACCGAGCAGCAGAGAAACAGAGAAGCAAAGAGACATGGTTGCACCTAAGGTTACCAAGTGAGTACAAATAATTGCAGCTGTAAATTTTGTTCAGTTGTCTGCGCAATGGTTACTGAACAAATTGTGGAAAGCGTTGCAGTAGCGCCCGCAAATAACTTGAGCGAAATACTCAAATCCCTTGTGGATTCTTACAGCGACAGGGACAATGTTGCGCCTGCCAATATATACGAGGACAAGAAGATCTTTCCCAGTTTTCGCAGTGGTCCACTCCAGGAGTATCGTGACAAGGCGAGCTTCTGCTATAAACGCTTGAATGTGCTGCTGGAGGGCGAAGACCACATTCGTTTAAAGGTACGTGAAATGCTACTACACACATACATATATGAATTTATCATTTTTATTGCCATATTTAAATGTAATATTGAATGAAATGCATATAAAGTTGAGTTGGCGTGCAAAGTTCAATGTTCAATGTTGATTAAATCAACATTGTTGTTGCAATAATGCAGAGTTTGAATTAGTGTTTAGTAAAAACTGTTTGCATACAGAGCTCTGTTAATGACATATTCCACTTGTAAAAGAAGTAGGCAACATTCTATTTACATTATCATTCTAATTGGAACTTTATTACACGTTTTTAATTGCTGTAGTGCAAAGTGCAATGTTAATTGTTAAATATAGATTATTACATTTATAATATACTCAATGTTTTAGAAAATTGAGTTTCACATAATTGCTTAAAATTTTTCAATTAATTTCGAATTAAATTATTTATTAAATTAATTTTTGAAAATATCAATTTTAAAAGTACATATCCGAAAAAAGGATTAAACCTTGCAAAAATTATGTGTATTTTTATACCCTGAACCCATTGAAAATGGGAAATCAGGGTATAATGGTTTTGTTGAAATGTATGTAACAGGCAGAAGGAGGCGTGGCAGACCCCACAAAGTATATATATTCTTGATCAGGGTGACGAGCTGAGTTGATTTGGCCCTGTCCGTCTGTCTGTCTGTCCGTCTGTCCGTCTGTCCGTCTGTCCGT